CCCCCCCTTCGCCTCTTCACCCGATTAGTTCCCATTCTTCTACTTCTTCTTTGTTCCTTTCTGAAGATGCTGCAACGACTCCACGAAAGCAGTAAACAGTTCGCTCTGCATCAAACTGCTAGATGTTGTCCAAGATACTTCCACCAACGAGTGAATATCCCACGGTGGTCCAGAGCTTCCTTCCCTCCCCAAGATGCCCCTCCATAAACCAATGGAGGAGATCGCGTCGAACCCAAAATCCGCCTATTGAACGTCTCTGCCCAATGATCGGTTTTGTAACGGGGAACAACAGACAGATCTAGTCATCCACAGTCCGATCCCGTTGTGATCGAAACGACATCACGGAGCAGCCACATCATTACGGATCTCGGATGCATTTCCATCCTGACCAGAACAGCTCATAGCAACCTAAGCCAAAAACGGAGATAAACGAACGGCCTTCTTCAGAGAGACGAACCACCCGCGCTCCACGAAAACAAGAATACGGATCCATCTAGGTTTGTCAACCACATCACCCATCAATGTGACCGAGCTCCGGACCGCACTCATAGAGGCTGTTGAACCGAATCAGCTCAATAGCAAGCCAAGCCAAGCCAAGCCAAGCCAAGCCAAGCCAAGCCAAAGAAGGAGATAAATGAACGACCTTTTTCACAGAGACAAACCACCCTCACCCCTCGGAAACGAGAATACGGATCCGGAAAGCTGCCCTTGACGGCAACAACACCATTAGAGGGTGTTGAACAGAATCAGCTCAATAGCAAGCCAAGCCAAACCAAGAACGGAGACAAAAGAGCGGGCCTTTCCTCGGAAACGAGAAAACAGATCCACCTAGGTTTGTCGACCACCTCGCCCATCAATGTGACTGAGCTCCGGAAAGCTGTAGTACCCTAGAGGACAGACGACTACCCATCTAACATGACCGAGAAAACGAAAAGCTCTGAATACCTGGTAGTCTCTTCGAGCGACGCTGTCTCACGGTAGGGCCATCTTCGTGTCACTACTCACTCCAATCAGCAGGCGATACAGTCGGATGCCGTTGAGCAAACAGCTCGCTGATGTACAATTCACCGCGGATATCAACATGCCAATTCAGTTTTCAGGAATCCAATTGCATTAGAAAGACGGAAACAAAAAAGACGAAAGAAAAAAGGAAAAAAGCGAGTCGTCACTTCTCGCCCATGAAGGCCAGAGTTGCCTTGATACCATAACACACAGGCTCCGTGCATCGCGTCTATACCACCACTAATCGACTGACAGCAAGCCACAAATAAAGAGAAACGGACAGCCATAAGGCCCTTCATAGTGTTTCATACCCTTTTCCAGAGATAAAACGCCCTTCCTTATTCCTTGCAAATACAAATCCATCCAAGTTGTCGACTCCCTCGCCCACTAATGTGACAGAGTAGAACCCCTGCCTCAGAAAGGTGGCCATAATCAATGCAAGGACTTGAAGTCAAACCACTGGCCCTCTAACATGACAAAGAAAAAGCCGAGGTACGAACACGTTCCTGCTGGAGAGAAAAGACTCCCTCAGAGTGGGACCACCGTTGCATCACTACTCAACCTCATCAGCAAATGATAATGTTAGTGTCATTTTTTTGAAGAAGGATTGCCAACGTAGAATTCACGAGGGATAGCCGCAAGCAGCAAGCAGCAAGTAGCAAGCAGCAGGCCATTCTGCTGCTCTCTAGCACTAATTTGAAATTTCAGATACTCACGGGAACGACATTTGATCACTCATCTCCCCAGCAAGCCCAGATATTTGCCTCGATACCACAGGCTCCGTGCATTCATACCACCACCCATTATACCTTCTTCCCCCGAAGAGAATGCCCAGTCATCGGGGGTTAAGACAGAAGCGAAAAGAATTCGGCCCAACTTTCAGTACAGACGCAGCGGTAATGAACGGGTGCAAAAAAGGATTCGCGGGAAGACGGTAGCAAAAGGATTGCTTGCAAACGGCTGGTAGACGGCTGGCAGGAGTGTGTATCTGATGAGAGGGGGGATCAGGGGGGGAAAACACCACAGATCTCTCAGTACAAATGTTACAGGTGACCCCAGCTTTAGGGGTCAGCCGGGGAGAGTGGGTTCGGTAGTAGTACGTACATTGGCTGGCGAGCCTTGGATTCAGGGTTCGTGGAGTAGTGGGGTGGACGGGACTGGGAGGCTGACACAGGCGGAGCCGGTTAAAGCTCCCGGTAGTCTGTAATCTGCTTTGAAACTGTTGTATCAGGGATGCCGGACCCGGTTTCCTGGTTTCCAGCAGGTGCTGTTCCCCACCAATTGACCGGAGCCGACTGCTGGTGCAACAGTCACTACGGTAGGATGCGCACTTTTACTGCCCTGGGGCCATAGGACGCAGAGGATTGTTAAAAAGGAAACAAAACAAAACGAAAAAGAACGAAAAAGAAGTCACAGGTGTTCACTTCAACCGAGCTTTGTCAATTCTTCCTCCAACAAAGGCAGAGCTGCTCGCAAGCTCACCACAGGCTTCTTGCCTCTGCACGGCCCCACGACCGACAGCCTGCGTGCACAGAACTGGAAGAAGTCCGGCAGATGCGTATGAGACGAGGCTGCCTGCGAAGAACGGGGAGAAGTCCGGGAGATGCGGATGCGATGAGGCTGCATGCGAAGAACTGGGAGAAGTCCGCGAGATGCTTATGAGATGAGAGAGGCAGGATTGGGTGAGGAGAGCTGTTGACTATTTCGACGGTTACAGGTGATCATTTCAACAGAGCTTTTTCAGTTCTTCCTCCAACCGAGAACTGAAAGCTACTACTCACCGATTCACAACAGGCTTCTTGCCTCTGCAACGCCACGCCCGACAGGCAGCATGCAAAGGAACTGGGAGAAGTCGGGCAGACGTGTATGCGATGAGAGAGGCAGGATTGGGGGAGGAGAGTTATTGACTATTTCAACGTGAAATAGATGGGTGAGCTGTTAAAAGCAGGAGTGGCCCAAGCGCAACGTATCGGCGAGCGAGTTGTTATCAGAGGTGGTGTACATCTTGGAAGTGCCTCCCTCACAAACCCTAATTTGGTAAACCTTTCCCAAATTTCACAAGCTGTTTCGATTTGCTTGCCATAGTAGTGCTGCATATAGCCAGTGCCTTCCACAGACCATAAATGCGCTAATACACATGACAAGGCCACTAGCCAAATAGAAAAGAGGGGAGACGAGGAAAGCAGGAGGGGCCCAAGTGCAAGGCGTCAGTTAGAGAGCCAGTATCAAAGATGAGAAGTCCCGCTGTGCCCCCTTGCAAATTTAGCTTGCCATAGTGCTGCATATAGCCAGTGTCTCACACAAACGGCCGAGGCGCTAATACAGACATAGTGCAGGGTATGAACAACGAGTACCTTCACTTGTGTAGCATAAGCATCACTCGGATTTTCAAAGTGAATAGCAGATAACATAGTGCATAAGTCAGTCATGGAAGCAACCAAAGGTTTTTCGCAAACAGGGAAATAAATTCAAATAACCCGCATCTTCTATTCAACATTATTTCAGGCCTTGCACCGACATCACTGATGATTCATGCACACTGCCGATGACAAGTTTCAGAAAGTCGCGTTTTTTTTGCATTTGCCGTGCTAACGCCACCGCTGCTGGCAGAACAAGGTCGCCTCAAAAATTTGCAAGCATCCACTCTCAAAAACTGATCGAGAAACAGCTCCACAAAAGAGAGGCAAGCTTAGACGCACGCGATTAAAGCTCAACAGAGAAAGAAATGCAGGGCTTTAAAACAGGGTTCTAGATTCAAAGAAAGAAGGTGATGTTTTGCTTCCTGTTTCAAGACGGTGACAAGCTCCTGATTACAGTACTCACCACCCCACACACAAGCCCGTGTCACTCCCAAGTCGTCTCAACCTCCAAGCCAACCTTCCTCCTGATAACAGCACCGACCACCCCACACACAAGCCCCTGTGGTCCCCGAGTCATATCAACCCCAAACCTCCCATCATCCACTCAACCCTAAACTCTTACAGAAACAAAAACCCGAGTCGCAACAAACATCGTTGTAGACTAGACATGGAGAACAACAGGAGGACACACGGAGCAACCACTGATCTTAACCCGATGACATGCCCCGACGACCTCCAGACATCTACAACTCGCCTTCCATCCAACCCACAGCCATGTCTCACCACTAACTAAACAGCCCTCTATCAATATGTTGTTCCTGCGTCAATCCTGAACACCATACCTCACCGAGTGCAAACTCCTCCAGCTACACCTCAGGCGCATTGCATTCCTCTTTACACTATTCCTGACTATTATCTGCAGTGACCGCTTATTTCCACATACACAGGACAAAACCACAACTCGAGCCTCCGTTACGAAGGACAAGCCCCACGGTCGCTTTCCGTTGCCAAAGGGGAGATCCATCACTCATCCCCCCTTGACGAAGAGCCCATCCCTTCAAGGTGTGGGAATAGCTTGCAACGTTGCAGTGTGGGAAAAACTTGGGACCTGTGGGAATAGCTTGGGACAGAGCAGTGTGGGAATAGCTTGGGGCACTGCAGTGTGGAAATAGCTTGGGACATTGCATGAACTGCTACATTAAGTCAATGAATCAGGCAGATCACAGGACAGAAGCTTAGTGGGCATTTTCCAGGGTTACCTGTCTATGCTCCAGGGAGAGTTTCTGTACAGATCCCTATGGTTCCTGGAGGGCGCGACAAAAACTGCTGCCTTAAAGTCGACCAAATAAGGCAGAGTAATGAGAGCATACTAACCATGTCCACTCACTTCACTGCACGCCAGTCCCGAACCCATCAACTCGGTAAGCAAGGACCACGCCGGGACAACGCGAAACAAGCGCTGAGAGATGCAGGCTCTCAGTTCTCCTGCCTGTAGATTACACCCTGTCATCATCGGTTCCAGTACCCTGATAACATGCACGACCCGCTGCCGCTTGAGACACCTAACGCAACACAAACACAACCACAACTGTCAATCTGTTTCAAAGACAAGCGCAATGACCCAGACACACAGACTTGGCGTCCCTTCGCTCCCTTGCTCCCTGATCGAGGAAGCCGGCCAGTCGCGACGCTTGGAATGACCACCCTAGTCTACACTCGTACACTTCCCATTACCATAATACTGCTTATGGCTGTGTGAGCGTGTGGTTTGCTGGGTCTCCCTACATTATCAGGGAAAGTCCCTCTGTCACCCAACAGGAAATCACAAGGACAGGACCGAAACAAACAGTAATGCCACAGTGCAGGAGAGAGAGAGAGAGAGAGNAGAAAGAGAGAGAGAGAGAGAGAGAGAGAGAGAGAGAGAGAGAGAGAGAGAGAGAGAGAGAGACGGAAGCCCGTATGCAAATAATGCTGTCCAGAGATATCAGGCAACAACACTGCCACATGTTGATAATGTAGAAATGATATCTCGTAAGCACAGGGCCATGGAGGTGGATGGTAGAGCTTAAGTCAGAAGAGAATTAGGTCGTCACCGCCGCTGAGGCCAAAAGTGTCTCCACAGCAAACCTCGTGTTTTTACGTCCCTTTCAGGCTAGTTTACAAAGACCGGTGCCAAATGTGAATGAAGAGAGTCCCCGAGAATCGACAGCGTGTTCCAAATGAACATTTCACTCGCCCTACCCTAAACCAAGGCTGCAATTCCCTGACTCCCTTTGTTTTTTTTTGGCTTTGTGCTCCCTACATGACCTATATCTGTGCCAATCCTCCAGCTGTATCAACAAGCGCCCAGCGCTAACACCGGCATACCCGCCCCATCCACCGTCTGCTGCTCACTTGGTCAACCTTCTACCTATCTTACCATCAACCTCTCCCCTCTCCTTCAACGTGATCTTCAACAAGGCCCTAAGGTGGTTTAAATCGAGCTCCCGAATGCAAAATACTGAAACATCACATCCCTACTTCCCGCAACCGCCGCTAGATGGATGCTCAGACATACGGGATCATCACAAGCAGAAAACAAGCCACCCTCCCTATTGATTCACCATCACACTTGACTCTCATGAATCTTCCGTATCCAAGAGCACACTCACCTGCCGACCATTATTATGGTCGTCACCACCAGAAGCAGCAGCAGTACAACCTTCCCACACACTCGAGCTTCCAGCTACGGCCCCGAGAGCATCACTTTCCATCCCATCTCATCACACTGGCATCCATGGCACGAACTGCCCACTTTCTCAACAGATGTTTGTGATGCATCGATCTAGAAGGGGAGTCACAGAACACGCAGCCAGAGACCCCAAAAAACTCCGTTTCAGTCTCTCACCAAGAGGCAGACCCATAACCTCCCCTTCTGTCCCTCTTTACAAGATCCTCGGCACACGGCTCTTTTCACACGGCGATTCCATCTATCCACAGGAAATTTTGCGGCCGGAAATCAGATCACTGGCAAGGCTTCGGTAGCTTCCTTTTTACTCACTACCTTCATTCACATACTCCCTCGTCCATCTGGAACGGAAGACTGTCAGCATAACCAGTGGCGCAAGATGGGGCAGAAAAGCGGGAAAGGAACCTCAGAGTCACTGAGAGCAAGAAGGGGAAAAAAGAATTTAGCACCTTAGTTATGTCTACGACACAGTTCGGCCATAGGCGACCCCAGCGATGTACAGGTTCTTCTGCCATTTGTCCTGCACAAGGACACAAGCACACAAACCAGAAAGCACCTCTGTTAGTATCAGCATCATCGGTCAAATTTCAAACACCGAAATGAAATCCAGAAAGTCAGAAAATTCTCTCTTGTCCTCGTTTCCCGACCCCAGCGCCCCCCCCCCCCCCACCCCAACCAATCGGCAAAAATGAAAAGGCAGATAAAGACAGACGTGCACCGAAAGTCTCTGGACATTCTGCAGCTTGGCACCTCGTCATGTTGCAAACGTAGGGCTCAATGCTTTTTTGTTTGTCTTTTTTTTGCTGCAGAGGCCATGCTAAATCTTCTCTGTATCGTTCCAATTTAAACGGATCAATTCCTTCCGCAGGACTCTTCGAGAAAGGCTAGCATGCAGGTGAGGTGCAAGCAACTCACGTGCACAATCGCTGACGCAGGCAAGGAGAAAGCAACAAATTACGATTTTGGACTTCTTACGATTACAACAATCGCATTTACGTCATCGCATGTTCTAAACTTTACTGACGCAAGCGAATAACAAACTAGTTTTCAGTTTATGACTGCTCAAAACACGCTCTCCCTTATCACAGTCGCATTTACTTCACCATAAGCGTGTTGCATTGCAGCAAACACAGCGTAACAATTGCGCAGTACATCAAGGTGCCCAGGGCAGAGACGAGACAACACTGCACGTACAGATTTTCATGGGACCATTTTAATTGAATCAAGAGCTTTGAAAGTCAAAATAGAAATCATGAAATAGTGACGGTGCCTGGCATATTTACATGGTCTTTTTGGTTCATCTGAACTTCATCATCATCCCCATCAGTTCAAAACATACTTGCAGGCGGACGCCGTCCGGGCGGTTCCCCACATGCGGCAGACCGCCGGACCGGACCCGTGCGGCGCACGAATGTGCACCCGACGACCAGTTACGCCCCCCCCCCCCCCCCCAAAAAAAAAAAAAAAGCCCCTGTCCGGTCCGGCCCGGATCCGTCTGGTCCGGGGGGAGGGTGCTGCACGCGGCAAAGCGGACCGGACCGGACGCTCGTCCGGTCCGTCTGCTTGCAAGTATGGTTCAAAATCTAATCCGCCTGAGACCACCATCTGGTTGATTGCTCAAATACTTCACAGGCAGCATAGGAAACATTCACTAAGGGCAGCATAGGAAACATTCACTAAGGGCAGCATAGGAAACATTAACCCACCCTTAGTAGAGGGTTCAAACTTCAAACTTCAAACTCGTCTACCACTCAAAATGTCATGACATGCTGGCCACCTGCCGCCGTTCCTAGCACACTATATAGTTTGCAGGTGCACTATTCCCCCTATTCTCATCTCATTAAAGATTTTTTCATTTGATTCTTGATTCAATGGCACTTCCATGAAAGCAGGATTGCCAGAATGAAAAGTGATTCGCCTATGCCCAAGCAGGCTAGCTCAGTTGGTTGAGCACGTAAGTGGCACTGAGGAGGTTGTGGGTTCGATACCCAACGTCGTCCTTTCAATCCCCATGATCTCCTGGGTGTATGCTTCAGGTTCACCGTCGGAGACTGTTGGCTTGGGCGTCCTGGCTGGTTGTGGAAGTAACGGGATCTCTCCAGCGCACGCCAGGTGTTAGGAGCTTGGGTACTGCTTCCCGCACCGAGCAGAGTTAGGTAGGCGTAGACCCATAACCTCAGCATAGTGTAAGCTCGGACTAGTGAATTTATCTGTGCATCCATAGGTAGGCGGTGTGTAGTTTTCGACCATAAAACTCTGGAGCTGGGTTCCTTGCTGGCTGGGTTGCCGTGCCCCTTGCAGGTTCGGAAGGTGGGTGGACCAGTTCAAGTACACAGCCCGAGGTAGGTCGTGTGAGATTGAGAAATTGAGACAAGAAAATCGCATAGTAAAAATGCAACTGTCCCCCCATATGAGGAGTAGAAAGTATTTAATAAAAAACAAGTGATTCGCCTACCTTCACATGAGTGCTTGGGAATGCAGATGTTCGAAGTGTCTCTTGAGTTTCATCAACTGGCCGCCGCTTGGGGACACTTAATACAAAAGCCGCCTGGTCCCACGTTGCTGCCGTGGATGTAATGCGATAACCGCTATCCCATCGCCTGTGGATACCTTCACTGGGATACAAGAAATCCAGCTCAACAACCTGTGAAACAAAATAACCAGGAAATGAACGATTGTTATACACAAACTGCAAATATGTGACACAGTACAGCAAGGCACAGTTTGAATCAACGTGCAAAGTGACGATAACAAAAAAGGAACAGCAGTCACACATTCAGAAATAGTCCGAGGCAGTGGGGAAGGCACACACAATCAAACGAGTACCAAAAAGAATACGGTAGCTAGAATCCTAGGGTACATTTTCGGGCGCAAGCGTCCCCAAAACCTGCCTGGAAGCCATCAGACTCCCAAACGTGCCCATGCCTGGAGGGGGGGCCAGGTTCAAGCACTGAGGAATTTTTCCAAGCCTACCTGTGGCTCTATTTTTCAGCAACACAAAGGCCTTGGTTTTGGAGTTTTCCGCAATTTTTGGGGTCAATTGTATCGTTGTTGGTTCACACTTGCACCGTCACCTTCACCGTTGTCAAGTTCCGTGCTTGTGCCTTTGCACCATCACCTTCCCTGAAGACATCCTCGTCGCAAGGCCACACCCACCTGTGCAAAGATTCCTTCTTCTTCTTCCTCCACCACCACTCCTCCCCCTCGTCCTCCGTTCTTCTTCATCTCCTTACCTCCTGCCATTTCCTTCCCTCGTGACAGCGCCCTCCTTTCTCCTGCACACCATCTCACTCTTTTGACCCACCATCTCCCTCTTAGCTCCTGCCGTCTCCCTACCCCTCCTGCCCACCATTCCCCTCATACCTCCTGTTGTCTCCTTGTGACCACCATCTCCCTCTTGGCTCCCATTGTCTCTCCTCCCTCCGTGCCCCATCACCCACCATCTCCCATCATCTCCCCCCTCCCTATCGTGCACCTTCAACCTCCTCTGACCACCATTTTCGTCCTCCCTCCTTCCTCCCCCCAGTGATCACTCTTCTCCCTCCTCACTCCTGCCATCTACCTCCTCCTCTACCTCCCATCTCCCTCCTACCTCCCAATCGTCCAGGTAATCCACCACCTTTTCTTCGTCAGGATTAGGATATCGCGCGCCTCTGAGATTCCATGGCTCATATGGTACGGTATGGATCCGAATCATCGAAATTTTATCTACATCAAACCTCCCATGCTGATCATCATCAAATGCATAGGTCCGATGCCTTTTCTTCATCAAGTCCACCCCCATCCCACCTCCCTCTCCTGTGCGCCCACTCAAAGTAAGTTCCCTCCTCCCTCCTGCATGCATCCTCCCTCCTCCCACACCCCATCTCCCTACTGCCCCCTTGCGCACTACCTCCCTCTGACCTGACTTCTCCTCCCTCCCCCCTGATAGGTCATCTTCCGCCTCCCTCTTTCCAGGCTTCTCCCTCCTGTGCCAGCTCCCTCCTTGCATGCCTTCTCCTCCTCTGACCCACCATCTCCCTCCTCCAAAGCCCGGACTCAGGCAGATCTTGGCTGGTGCAGCAACGCCCCACCAAAGAAACAACAAAAAAAACACGAAGGCCTTTTTACATGCACACGGTGACTTCCACAGGCACCCAGCCATGCCGTCTGAACAGATGCCTGCAGGGGCAGTCCTGGCCTGGCACCAGTAGCCTAGGTAGAATTGAAAACAACACAACCATCACTACCTTTCTCGTATATAAAGCCGCGGGCCTCTGAATTCAAATTCGAAGGGCGGGCACCACCGATGAAAATTATCAGCGGCTGCCTGGCAGTGATGTTTTCTGAATAGGCTACTTTTAAAATTTACCGTCACAGCCTGAAAGTTAGTGGTCCTTTCAACAACAAAAAAAAACTAAGCGTAGGGGCGCCGTTCACTACCTACCTACGACTACTCCTATGACCCCTGCAAGCATAGCTACCTCTCACAATCAAGGGAATGCATGTTGCCACTGGCCATAATCGGCGATGGTCAGGGCCTAGGGTGGGGGCGTCAGTGGGAGAGGCCGGCTAATCCAAAGACTGAGCATTTTGCCAGTAGCTGCGCCTCCCATACTACCCGCGCCCCAATCGAGTAACAGCAGTGTTTATGACCAGCACTCATGCAGCACACACACCCAAACACACACAAACCCGTGATGGCCAAAGACCCTACCAATTAGGGTCACTTCAGGTTTGTTATTGAGAGGAAATTTTTGTAAATAAATTCTATAACATAAAAACTTAAAACATGGCACACCCCTTTAGCCCTTTAAACAGCTTGGAAAACCTGTTGATACCCTCTAGACCCCGCCGTCGTGAGCCATTCACATGCTCAAACATCGGGCCAAATTTGAACACAACTAGGCAGGGACAAAAATGCCCACGTAGATGCCCGGTAACCCAGTTGAACCAGGAATGCAGCTCCAGGCTGCACGGTCCCAGATGATCCGTCCCGGGTGATCCAGAGAGGTGGGTCCGGGCTGCCTCGGACCACGTACCCATCTGACCTAGGCGGGAGGGTCTGGATAGCCGCCCAGACATGAATATGCTCGCCCATCACAGACAACTACCTTTTGTACATATGAATGAAACAAACGTCTAAAGGCAATATCGATTTACACATCACACCACACGATGCCGCGGCATTTTGCATTGTTGCATGGAGAAAGAAACAGTGTGTGTGGCATGCAGAAAGAAAAAGTGCATGCAAGTCAGTGATGGTATACCTGATCTGAAAATCCCGCATTCCTTGACATGACCACACCCCAGCGGCTTCCTGCTGTTGCCATTGACGTCACATTGAAACCTTCCTTCCACTTCTTGTTTATCCATTTGAATGGAAATATGTCACTGACCTTGTAAGACTGCTGTGTGTACGGAGTCCCTTGGAGACAAAATCACAGACACAAACAAGCAGTAATATGTCATTTGTTTTTCAAATATCAAAGCTATAGAATGATGAAAAATGATGAACTGTAGATGCACAAGGCTCACCAAACAAAAACAAACGCAGCCAAGTCAAGCAGTCACCAAACACACTTCCCTCATACTGATCATAACTGCAGTGAGCACGCAAACATCAGGTGCCAGAGCTTGAGCAATACGTGAGCAATACTTTTCACAAGGGAACACCTCAAAATAGGAAAACAATTGAGGCACGTATAGAGAGAGATCTTGACGGCCTAAAGGTACTATTCAAAGGTACAGACACTGAAGCCAGGATAAAACACTTAATCACCCCTCCTCATCTATCTCCAACCCCCTCCACCATTATAGACCTCTCTCTCTCTCTCTCTCACTCACTCACACACACACACACACACACACACACACACACACACACACACACACACACACACATTCTGATCGTAACTATAGTAAAAATGCAAACATAAAGCGCATGCAAACATGCCTTCTTTGCATGACAAAATAGGAAAAGATGGATTGAGAGGCAGGAGGAGACACTAAAT